TCACAGCTTCATTTGAACAGTTTATACAGAAAGTTTCAAATGGGGTTTACAACTTATCTATCTCCCTTTCCTTTGTAAAAGCTACTTTCTGTTTGATGTATTTTTAATAAGAATTGGCCACTTAGGACACATGGTTCTGGGTTTAATGAACCTGTAGGTTTAACAGCAATGGAGACCTGGTGTTTTTCCTTCATTTTTGAATGGGTAAACTAGTTTCCATGGTCAATTTAGTTTACTGGGAAGGTGTTGGGAGGAATAATTTGTTTTAGGAAATAATTTAGGTAGGAATAATATGTTTTAGGTATCTTTAGGGAAGAGGGAGGATTCATGTCCACTGGGAAATGGGTTGGGGGTTTACAATTTCACTTCACTTCATGTCTAGTAGGTAACTAAACAGTTGCATAATAATTCTGGCCCCCATTTGTTCCAGGATGACCTGAAAGTGAGAGACTTCATGATGAAGCTGCTGTTTTTTCTAGCATTTTCTGATGCCTCATCCTAATCCCCACATGTTTTTGCCAACTCTCCCTTTGCTGGGCAGTTTTAGGTTAAAAGAGCAGTGTTCTGCAGCTTTTATTTATTACTATACCTCTAATATGAAACTACCAGCTGCCCGGAATGCTAATGAAGAGATGGCTGTTTAAGGTCACATGCCTTAGTACTGGTTCTAACAAATCTAGATCCTTTACTTTCCAGCACTTCTCCAAGATCCAAGTCAACACATGACAATTTCTCCTGCCACTTGCCTCAAACTACTCTGCCAATCCAGCTTGGGGATGGGGAGGGAGAAGGATTCAATTTTAGAAGGTAGTGGGATGGATTCAGAACTGGAGTATGTTGGTGTGGAAGTTAGGAGAATAGAATAAAGTCTGCAGAGTTCTCTGGCATGCTCTGAGTCATGGTTGTAAGAATAGAGGACTGGGCTGTCTAGAGAATTAGAGCAAGTTACAACTACAAAACCCTATTAGCATCAAGCAGCTTGTTCTTCACATCATATGACCCTGAATCACAAGCAGGAAATTTGGCCTGTCCATCATCTAGTGACCCTTTCCCCTAGTGGCTCAGTCTTGATAGCACTCTGGGACCCAACTCTAGCTTCTTAGCATCCATCATTCCTCTCCATATCCCAGCCTGATCTCACTGCATCCTGTGGGCTTAAGGAGATGATTTTGATGATGCACCTGTTGCAAGATGCCAGCCCAGAGGTGAATAAAAGGAATTGTCTGTGTTAGAACCTTGCTACTACAATCGCCATGTGCATAGACAGAGCTGAATATGATCAGTCTTCCCTACAGGAGTGCTTAGACAGACCTGAGTAATGGGGACAGATCTTGCATCCCAGAAGGGGTAGAGTTGGCTTGTGCCCTCGATTCTCTAATGTTTCTTTGTGCCTCCTTGAGTTCTTGATTCACTGCACTTCCTGTTTCTGCTTTGATTTGCCCTTCTCCTGCACCAAGCAGTCATTTGTGAAGCACTGAAAAAATGTAACGTGAAAGGCCTGACTGTATCAACTTTGGTTCTGCTAGAGAAGAGGGAGCTGCTGGTATAGTTGTTATGGGCCTGCATAACTGGTTCTAATGAGGACTTTCCCACCTGTAGTAGTGTTGAGGTCCTGGATCAATAACCATCTCAAGGTCCTGGGTGTGAAGGAAAGTTTGGTGGTGTTTGGAGGCTAACAGGGTAGAAAAAGAAAGCAAATGATATGGCTCGGGGCTCTACCAATAACTAGCCTAGTAATTTCCTTCTGTATTTACTGCTGCCTTCCTAGTGCTGCACATAGTGTCTTAGAAGTCACAAAAGGAGCAGAAGTCAACCAAGACTTCGAGACGATAAAAGTATGTTCTTTATATTGTAAGTTCTTATTGATTTCTTTTTAAGCCTGCACTAGAGACTTTGAACTCGACGCTCGGCTGCTATAAATCAGTGCTCGGCTCCATTGACTTTCAGCTCTGTCCATCTTTGGGCTTTGTCCAGCATCCCCTTGGACTTACTTCCTACCACAGTGTCACTGACCTTTCTTCTGCCTTTTTCCAGTCTTCTACCTCTCCCTGGACACTCTACCCAGGTTCTTTTGGCCCAGAGAAGCATGTGGACATATCCTGGTCTCTCCCTTCCAGTGGAAAAAGATGATGTTATAGCCCTATTCCTTTTTTTTTTTTTCTTCAGAAGGCATTGCAGCTGGAAACTGGCTGTAGGTGACCCTAGCTATCTTTAAGGGCCATCACACATTAACAGGAGCTGTTTCCAAGAAGCAGTGGCTAGTACAGAAAGGAAAAGGTGCTGCTGCTTAAGCACCCTGAGAGCTGGAGAGGAAGAGTACTTTTGGTTGCCACTGAAAAGCATGGAAAGAGAGAAAAGGGCTTTGAAATGTTGTGGGAGCCCCAGTCTTTTAGGCCTTTCCTACCTCCTTCACTTACTTCAAGACTTCAAAAAGTGTCAGAGAATATAGATTGGCAACCAAAAACCTTACAAATGTTTTGAGCAGTTGACAGAATCTATGGCTCCCCGTGTCCTCAGGGCACTAAGCATCCAACAATCTCTTCAGGGTACAACTTCAGTCCTCTTCTGTTAATCCTGGCTCCTGAATGCCTAGCAAAAGCCACTGGACAAAGCTTCCTTTGACCTTTGGCTGGGCATGAGACTGCACCCTCTCCTCCAATATAAGGACGTATAAGTCATCAGTGTCTTTTCAATCTCTAGTCTCAATTGTTGCAATGCACCCTTACATGCTCTGACTCTGAAAGCCATTCAGAAACTGCAGTTGGTCCATCAGTCAGTAGTCTGCCTTCTAGGGCAGAAACTGAAGAGAGTACATCATATTAGTGCTCCTCTTCCTTGTCTGCCTCAAAGAGTCCGTTCTGATCTTTAAAACACTTATTTCTGGGCCAGGACCTCTCTCCCTTTCTGTGCTCCACCTGATAGACACCTGGAACACTGCAGTTTCCAGTTTTTTATGCTGCACTCTTGGAATGAGATGGAGGACAGTGGAGGATGTTTCTTCATGCAGAGCTTTCTCATCTGAAAGAATCTCTACAGTCAGAAGCTGAGATAAGGACTAATTCATGTGTGGGTTACATTTTGTGTGTCTGTATTTGTAGGTCTTTCCCCGCAAAAAGTAGCTGTATGCAACAGGCTTTCCATGACAACCATCCTCCAGTGACTTACTTGGTGTAGCAATTAAGGGGCCCAGTGTGCAGCAGAATTTTAGCATTGCAGAGATTTTCAAGGCTCGCCTATACCTGGAGAAGACTGCTAAGCACTCCTCCTCCCCCACCCAAAGCTGAATCCACAGGCACACTCCAGACCTGAAAGATAGCCAGCAAGGCTGCTCTAGGCTCATCCCCATCACCCACCCTTGAGCCCTCAATCTTCAGAGGATCTCAGAGCAGATTTGGGAGACAAGCTGGAGCAGCCACACTGGTAAACTTCAGTGTGTGTATGCAGAGCATGGGCAGGGTATGCTCTGGCCTACCCTTGCTGGGGCCTGCTGCTGCAGAGGTATAAACAAGCCTTTGGCTTGGAAAGGGAGGGGGTGCTTGCAAGAGATGTTGTGGTGTTGGTTTTATTAATTTCTTGCTGCTAACTTTCCAGATTAGGAAAGACAGTGATTGGCTACAGCCTGGGAGAGCATAAGAAAATTCCCTGGCTTAAACACAGGCTGTCAGTAGCGAGAGTGGTGTGGGGAGGAAAGAGCTGCTTGAACTCTTATTTCCTGTGTAGCCACCATAGGGAGCAGTGTCCTGCAGGCTCAGCACCCTGATCATGCTTCTCTAAGCGCTCTTAAACTGTTATGAAATAGTTCATCTCTGTCTCCAGAATGGAGTGGTTGCAGAGCTCACTGGATGATTACCCAGCATAACAAGCTGGCTGAAAACATGTTTTGAAAACTGCTTACAAAATTGCATTTTAAAGGCTCCTTATGAGAAAGGGCAGGATAGGCCATGAGAAAAAGGAAAAGCAATATTGTTCTGGCTTTTTCAGTGCTACAGTATTTTTGCTTGTTTGGCCCCATACTGTCCACCCAGCAGTAGAGTCCCTCTCTACAGATGCTTCTATTCTAAGACTAACAAAAAAACACATTAGACTCATCCTAGGAACCAGTAGGCTTGTCAGATTCAAAAGAAGTAATGATAGGGACTTGGCACACTGGGGAAGGGGTGGGCATCATATGCACACGCTCAAGGGTGAGGATATGCACAGGGAGTGGAGCAAGAGGAAAAAAATGGTCATTGAAATGCACATTATTGTTGAGCAAGAGAGACTTGTGGGAAATCAGCAGGGATCTGGGTTTTCCATTTCCCAAGGAAAAATGGAGGAAAATGTGGATTTTTCCCTTTTAACTGAGAAGAACACCTATTTTTCATTTTAACAGAGAAACATTTGGATTTCCCACTTCTGCAAAGAGCTCTCTGCAGGATGGCAGAGTTCCAGCCTGCAAGGGGCTGCAGGGAGCGGGAGGAGGATGGTCAGGCAGATAAATAAAACCCAAAATCAAATACCAAAAGTTATAGGTACTTAGATTTATGTTACTATAGTGATTTAGGCACTGGTAAGCTTCCCAATTGCTTTAAAATTGTAATATCGATAAAACATTGTGTTCAATTGATACCTATAATGACATTCCATTTTAATTGTGGATTTTAGGTTTTTTTAATCAGTGAACTTGTTTTCTTATAAGAGTATTTGTGATTTTTAAACAGAGGAAACCAGGATACCTGGAAATGAGTAAGAGGAAACAAGGCCCATGATCTAGTTAAGATAGAGTCATTAAGAAGCTTGAAGACAAGCCTAACAATTGAAATATAAGCAGGAAAAGGAACAACATGCATTGTGAGCCTTATAATAAAGGTTGTATTGATTTGGGGCACTGTCAAGAAACCATCTTC